TCCTAGATACAACAAGAAGCTTAGATGTAACATGGTAAATAGAGAGAAACTATTATGAATCTGTGATGTATTTCTCTCATGATAAAACTATCACAGTTGCCGGCTTTGCAGGTATTTCTTTTTATTTTCTGGGTAGGAGAAAAAGCTGCTTCTTTTCATGTGATTGAATTTTAGAGACAGCCACATAGATTGTCTGTCATGCTTTGTTGCCTTTATGTAACTTTTTTTATTTGAAGACTAAGTGCGATGTTTGAAGTTCACTGGGGAAAATACTATTACCCTATTTTTGTGTGTTGCAGTTTTAATGCTTTGTTGCCTTTATGTAAGTTTTTTTATTTTAAGACTAAGTGTTCTTTCTGGCCTTTGACTCCTTACTTGACTCCAAGGGAGAGCTGCACAAGAATTCTTATATGCCTAGACCATCTGTTTATGCATAAATGGCAAATAAAAAAAAATCTTGACTTGACTTGACTTGTCTGCTAGACACAGACCAAACATTACAAATAGTATAGCCAATTATTCTGCTTTAGAAGAATCGAACAAACGATTTGCACACAGTAATAGAGATGTCATCTCCAGTACTTCTTGATTTATTGATTCAGTTGATACTAACCTATGACAAATTTCACTTTTTCAAATAAGTAACAGTTTTGTCAAACGAACCCACATGCAACATTTGATCTTCCAACTGAAGTAAAAAGCAGGTACATACTTTTGGACAGGTAGATTCTCTAACATATTAAAGAAAGAATACCCTTTTGTGTAATTTCAAAGCCAAAGTTTGGAAACTGAGAGACAAATGTTTTGCTAGAGAATAATAATTTGCATAAAATTTCTACTGCGAAAAATACCCACTTTTTCTGTGCTTGAGTGATTAAAGTCTGTTTCTAATATCTGGAATGTGCAGTGTGAAATAAGTTACAGTAGGCAACAAAATCAGTAAGAGCTAATGGAATAATTATGAATTTAATATTATAGAGGAACTTAAAAATTGATAATAAAATCCCATGGATGTATGCCTCGTGTATCACTACAGTGTGAATGGTTTGCTCAAATGCAAATTTATTTAAAACAAACAATCAAAAAAGAGGCTAAAGAGTGAATGCTATTTGTTTGGTATGAGAGGTAATGGTTATTTTTAGCAGATGTTTAGCCAGACTTATGTAGTTTTAAACATGAACTCTGGTGCATGAATGAATATACACTCACCGGCCACTTTATTAGGTATAGCTGTACAGTTGTATGCAATTCAGTGCAACACTTCCAACTTAACACCTGTGTTTATGAAACTCAAAATGCTTGTTTTTAGTGAAATTGTTCTAAATGTATAAATTCAAATATATGTTTATTATTGAGGTCATAGCAAAAGGTGGTGTTGTACTGGGCTACAATATATATGTTGGTGTTCCTAATACTCTGACCCTCTGTGTATGTAACTATGGAGGACAAAAATATAGAGACACCTCTAAATATAATGTATTGCAGTACAACACCACCTTTAACTATGTCATCATTAATAAACATATAATTGAATTTATGCAATTATGACAATTTCACCAAAAACTGAAACTTTTGAGCTTCTTAAACAGGTGTTCAGGCGAACATGTTGCACACAGTTGTACAGGTGTACCTAATAAAGTGGCCGTGAGTGCATAACATACATTATATGTTTTGGCGTCGTTTTTTTTCAAAGGGTCTGACAATTCCAGAAGGCGCCCAACAGCCAATCACACACGCGCGCGTGCAAGAGAACGGCAGTACATCCAAATATGGCACCCCTACTGTGGCTGTATCAGTTAACGCCAACTGTTACACATCATCCCCGAGAACTAAACTCGGTTTCGGTATGCATTCTAGTCATACCAGTGTGAATCAAGATGCTAAGCTAGATTTAATTTAAACAGAACACCGATTTTACTTCCAACAGTAAATGGAGAAAACTCAAAAACATCTTCGGACTTTACGTGAGGCTGGTTGTTTCTTTGGCTGCAACGAAACAAAGACCCGGCAGTAATCATAACCTGGAAACCAAACCAGGACAAAATTCGCTACGTTTAAACACACTATTGTTAGTCTACGCTGTTGGGTTTTTACAGTAGTTTAACTCTTGGGAACCACAGACTAACGAAAGTGAAACCGAGACAGCCGGTACAGTGAAAAGTCAGGCGCGCAGCGGGAGCGCGCTGACCGCTCGACGTTCAGTTAGTCACGTAGCCCTCGGAGCTCAGTATGTGCAGGGCCATATGCTGCTCTATACTGCTCTATACTGCGCAGGATTTATGTTCCTCTTTGTTTAAGAGGTTATTCGAGTGAGAAATACCATTAGTATGAGGAGCTTGTGTAGAGAAATGCTGCGATAGGCCACATGCAACGACTGTTTCGACACTACGGACAACTTAAAACAATAAATTCTAAATTTTATTTATCTATTTGTTTTATTCATTATATTTTACTAAGTACAGTAATGGTAATATATTTTAAACCGTTAATTGCAGTTTTATTCAATTACTATAGACAATTTTAAGAAAATGCTTAAACCCCACAAACAACAGTCATTCTAAAATTAGTATGGATAAACAATGATATGCCCTTAAGTCTTTCAGTAATACTTTTTTAGTCCATTAGTCTTTAAAGAGATCTTACTCAATTTTACAATTGAATAGACTAATTCACTTGAAATAAATATCTATTTTTGTATAATTAATGTACTGAAATGTGCTTTATCTGTTTTCAGGAACCAGTGGTTTTAACAGACACAAACCTTGTATATCCAGCTCTCAGATGGGACATTGCATACCTCCAGGAGAATATTGGAAATGGAGACTTCTCTGTTTACATTGCAGAAAACCACAAATTCCTCTATTATGATGAGAAAAAAATGTGCAACTTTGAGAACTTTGTCCCCAAGTCGCAACGAACGGAAATGAAATTCTCAGAATTTGTGGATAAAATGCGCAAAACAGAGCAATCAGGAGGAGAGGATAGGTAAGCTTTATTTATAAGCCTTTTTTAGTTGTAGTTCTGAACTGCTGTGTTAAACAGGAATATGATGCAAGCTATACCTATATTAACCCTGCTTGGGCCAGTGCATAGTATAAACAGAACCCTCTTTTTGAAGCGCAAGTAGTAACCAGACTGTCAGGAAATGAATTATGATTGTACTGCAGCCTGCAAGGGTGTTTCCTCTCATGAAGTGTAATGCAGCACAGGAAAGCAGAGCTTTCAGGAGAATCAGACACTTATTCGTGTGAACTGACTTAGCCTTGCCATACAGGTGTGAACTCGGTAACACTCACAGTGGGTGTTGTCTATTTGGATTTACAATAACAAACATCCCTCAGCGTCTCATTGTTCTTCATGGTTTAAAGGAGATGTAGTCCATTAAAACAGACTAATTCATAGCACTTTTGAAAATTTGCTGCATTGCAATTTGTTTAAACAGATTGTTTCTTACATGTTGCATGTCTCTCTTCTCATTCATTTTAAGAGTATATCTGCAGCAGACTTTGAATGACACAGTAGGGAAAAAGATTGTGGTTGACTTCCTTGGTTTTAACTGGAACTGGATCAACAAGCAGCAAGCCAAGAGAAACTGGGGGCAGCTGACATCCAACCTACTGCTTATAGGCATGGAGGGTAGGGATGCAGTTTTTGTTGTAAAATGCCTTGTTTGCAGGCCTGGACTTAGGTGTTAGATGCTTTTGCTTCTGTTTTTTGTCACATTACCTATGCTGTTACTCTCTATTCATTATAGGCAATGTTACACCAGCACATTACGATGAGCAGCAGAACTTCTTTGCACAAATCAAAGGACATAAGAGATGTATCCTCTTCCCTCCGGACCAGTTTGAATGTCTCTATCCATATCCTGTGCATCACCCCTGTGACAGACAGAGCCAGGTAATCCACAAATCCAACTAGGTTTAATAATATGAGCTTTATTTATGTAATGGTGCTTTGTGATTCAGTTAACTTCATTTACCTTCAAAAATGTCAGAAACGTAGGAAGGAATTAATATAGACAGGCCCTTGAGGAACAACCTGTTCATGTTTTGTAATGAGTGTGTATTTTTCCTATATAGGTTGATTTTGATAACCCTGACTATGAGAGGTTCCCTAATTTTAAAAACGTTGTTGGCTATGAGGCTGTTGTCGGTCCAGGAGATGTGCTCTACATCCCGATGTATTGGTAAGCAGTACATCTGTATGGCTTGTATACAGAAATAATGTATACTAACATTACTTCCTTTAAAGAGCTCTAGCACAAAATGGGCTGGTTACTAAGATTGGTGACTATCAAACCTGCAAAACTCAAGGTATATTTACAGTAACCTAGATCATAACTAAGACTTATTTTGGGGTCAGTTTCCATATACAGTATGAACCTATGCCCAGATACAGATGATACCTTAGAAGTATGATGGAAAATATTGTCATTTAAAAGGAGAACATGCAGATTATTGAGAAACCATCACTATGTGTCAGTGACATTATCACAGTTTGACCTTTCATAATAGTTACTTGTCTGTATCCTAAAAAGGGAACCAACCTCCACTTACTTTGAAATTCCAAGATCAAAAACAAAACACTGCATTTAACTATGTTGTTACAAATGGAAATATGCCATTTTCATACAAAAATTTATATAATGCAGTTGCACCATAAGAACACTTTTTGTGGTTTTATTGAAACAAGTTAAATTTGGAGTAAGTGTATTCATTGAGGCTAAACAATTCAATTCAGTTTGAATGCTTAACACGAGTTGAATGGTATTTTATCTGTGTATTTGTGCACATCACTTATAGTCTAACTGTATTCACTTGCGAAAATGAATTGTATAACAACAATTGAAGTGTGGACACATTGTGGACTGCAATACCAAACACCAATGACAGTGCTGAAAGACAAAATTAGTCTTGTGTCCATCTCTTATACTGCCTGTGGTTTGTTGAACAACCTATAACCTGCATTTATATTAATGACATTAAATATTAGGTAAAGCTGCAAAAATATGTTTTGACAGCCAGCTAAAAATGGTTAAAGTCAGTGTAGTTATCTGTATTTTATTATTATTATTTTTCTTTTCTTCAGGTGGCATCACATTGAGTCACTGTTGAACGGTGGAGTGACAATCACTGTCAACTTCTGGTACAAAGTATGCATATTTAAATCACTAGAACCCTGCCTTAAACATTTGCCTTGTCTTTCCTACTCATGTTTGTCTTTTCTTCATTATCACTTACCAGTTTGACTCATTCATTTAGGGCGCCCCCACCCCAAAGAGGATAGAATACCCTTTGCGAGCTCATCAGAAGGTGGCTATTATGAGAAATATTGAGAAGATGCTGGGAGAAGCACTTGGAGACCCACATGAGGTAAAAGTCCTTCCTTTTAGACTCTCCCTCCTATCGTCAGTGCACCAGTTTCATAAGTCGCACACAAATGTCACACTGCCGGTTTCTTAAGTATCAAAGCATATCCACATTTAGGTCACCTGTTGCATGAAATCCCTGGGGCATGCTGACCCTTCCAGCAACCCACTTACTGTGAATATTTATGGCTTACCTGATTTAATCCAAGAGAAAGATATATGCAGTCTGGGACAATGAGTAAAACAATGTATGTCACTGTGAAGAAGCTTATCCTAACCAAGAATCCTTTGGTTTACTGTAGGTTGGACCTTTACTGAAAACGATGATCAAGGGCCGATATGACCAGGACCTCAGTTAGAGCACCACCCTGAAAACTTAACTAGACTGCTTTGGAAACTGTATGCCAGTGAAAATGAGACTGCAAGCGTGTGTAATGCGCATTCTGGCTTTATAGAGTATCACTGCATGGCAATAAGCAGCCATCTTGAAACTGTTCTTCTTCATTTGTCTCTGGGTGCCATTGTCATTGCAAATACAACAGTTATGAGGAAACATCTGACTAACTCGGGGGAATTCGCCTTACTTGAAGAAGTCTTCTTCGAAGACGGCTTAATTTTAAGTCAAGGTATGTTTATGTTAATCAGTGGTTTGTCAGGATTCTAATAATTCACAGAAATGGATGTTTAGCCAAGTCAGTAAACATTATCTGAGATCGGTACCTTTGGAGCAGCTTGAATATTTTAACCACTAATGGATGAGTCAAAGAGTAATATACATTCAGTTAATTGTAGCTTGATTACTAAATGTGAAATACTGATATTGTATTCTCCATCTTGATCATAAAGACAGCTTTACAACAGATTTGGTTGGTACCTCTAAAGACAACAGGTCTTTTAAGTGTTTTACAATATTTATCTGTGCAATCGACATCACTATTCTACTAATGACATAGTTTTGGGGGAGAGTAATCAGCAAGAATTTCCTGTTGCAGAGAAGACCACATAGGCACAGTAATTAAACACAGACGTACCGTGATAATGAATGGTGATGAAATATTATTAAAAGTGTGTGTGGGTGTGAAAAGAGGGGCCTCACATATTCAGCTGAAGGAGAGTGCAAGTGCTTGAAGCTAAATGATTTTAGCAGTGGTTCCTTTGTGTTGTATTTAAGCTCTTACTGGTTTGATTTATATTTCAAGTACTATATTGGATGTGCAATTCCATCTACCAATGATAGGTGAAGGAGCACTGAAAATAAATACTATGTTTATTGCAAATAAGGTTAATTATAGGAATAAAAAATACAGTATGTTTTTTGTTTGTTTGTTTTTTTACAATTTTTACTATGGTAATTACAGGTGATATTTTTTTGGGATGGGATCTTATGATGGCTAAAACTGTTGAGTAGTTTTAAGTGAACTGTTTAAATGATAGATTTAAGTTAACTAACTGGACTATCATCTGGAACTTACTGTATGTATCAGCCCTTGCTGTGCTGTGTATTGCACCATCTAGTGGCCAAGTTGCATGTTAATCTTGATGTATCTGGCCCGTGCATTCTACTGCTACAATACAAATATTTAATGTAATAAATGCAGAAGATCTAAGATACGACTATACTGCATTTTGTACAAAAGTCTACTACCATTTGAAAACCCATTTGCTTTTGTTATTGCTATAGGTTAACTCAGAAATGCACTTATTTTATTTGTACCTTCTCGCAGCCATATTTGAAGACCTTAAAGTGAGGGCGTCTTGAAAAATGGCTGTTGTTGCTGCACGTTTAAAGTCCTCTGTAGAATTTTTATAAAAACATACATTAAACAGAAGGGAAGGATAATTTTGTGGCAAACCAACATACAAATCATACAGCTTTGTTTGCCTGTGACACTGGATACATCAAGCAAGTAAACTATAAAACATGAATTTTCAAGCACTTAATTCACCAGAAATATGCAGGTTTTTAAGTTTTATTCTGGTTCAACCTTGAGATTGCTGATTGTATGCATACAGAATCTATTCTTTACAAATTGCACAATGATTAAACAGTGCTGCTTCCTCTGTAAAAAGAATTTACCTGATGTTTCATCTCTTTTCTATTTCTAGGTTAAGGCAGTTTACTGTATGTGTCTTGTGTAATAATGACTTGGCACTAAATGTTGCAAGATGGTCAAAATGTTTATTTTCACTCTGCCATTAAACAGCTTTAAAGGTGAGACTGAAAATGGTTCATAGAGATAGGGGCATGTTTTAATTGGTTTTTGTTTTGAACATGGTGTGTGCTCTCCTATAATTAAAGTCTGTTTGCAAAGATATACTCTGCTGCACAATGTGAATTCTATACACATAGCTTTGAAATAAAATATTCTACCTCAGTGCATTTCAACTAATACCTTCTCTAACATAAGTAAATACAGTTAAGTCAGAATACAGTAAGAATGGTAGTCTACAAAATTAGCATTTATTTACTAGAAATTTCATGTCAGCAGTTAAAAGCTAGAAGTTAGAACTCAGTTGTGTCTACACAGCTTCAGTAAATCCAATCCATGCTTTACAGTAACACCATCCTATGGTAGTTAGACAACATTGCTGCTGATAATGATAAGTATCAGTAACAACACACCGTTTAAACACTCAATTGTATTACACCTACATTCAGGAAAAATATTATACCACCGGTTAAAAACAGTTGCTTATTGTTGCTCCAAATGGATGCAGAGGGGATCACAAATAAACAACTGGTATATCTTAGGGGAAAAAAAACTAACCAACCAATTTATCCTAATAAACAACTAGCAAATAAAAATCCAATCAAAAATTCAACAAGCGAAGCAAAATTCACAGAACACAAATGAGATAAACGGAGCCGTGATAGAGAACCAGGTCAGTAACACCATGTAAACAGACCCTGAAAGCACACAACAGTGTCTCTTCACAATAAATACCTGACCTCTGACTTTGCAAATCTAAACATCTATATCAAAAATAAAGATCATGCTGCTAGATTGGATTTTAAAATGAAGCCCCCCCCCCAGCATGTTTTGGTTAACGTTTTTGTAGCAACCAGTCCTGCATGTCAATGTCAGAGTTTACAGTGGTGCAATAGTTTATGCAGGCCTTGAGAGTTGAATGTGTTTTGCTAGAAAATTAATAATCAAACTATTTGGTAGTGACACAGTGTTTTTCCATTACAGGTGAATAACAAATTAATATTCAAGTTGTGTGAAAATGAGTGTATCCTTAGTTTATTCAGAGCTTTGTTGTGTCAGAATGCACAAGCCCCTCAGGTCTATAATAGCTGTCTATAGTGAAAGGCTATCAAGTCTTACTTGGATGACTTTGAGCCAAAGTTATCATGTTTCAATTTTTTTATTTTGTGAAAATATAAACAAAAGTTACTTCATATAGTGCAGACTTCATATACTGCACAGCTGCCTTCTGTGTCATCAAAACAAATGAGGGCTTCCTCAGCTGGTACTAAACTGCCTTAAAAGCACAGAAGATCCTTGATTAAGCGATAAGGTCAGTGATTTTCAAAAATTTTTTCTCTAAGAATGAACAACAATGAATTCTGTGTACTCATGTAATGTCTGTGAATCCAGAGCCTAGCTTAGCTTACATCTGTGCCATAGAGCTCCACTGTTGTCCAAAAACTATTAAACACACCAGTGAGGCACACCTTTGCACTGGTTTCCATCACTTACATTTGATGAAGTATGAAATAATCAACTGCATGTGATCTGTTGTTTACACTCCGCTGCTAGCTTCTGTTATGTGTGCTGCAAGAAGTGAGTGCAGTAGTGTAAACAGCTGAGATTTTAGTATCTTGTGGATATTCAGATAACCTAGTTACACTGCATCATGCAGGTCACATTCTTTAGTGGACACCAAGTACTGGCCACAATAGCCTTAGTAAGTCAACAATGCTATCGGTGTATCATATCTACTTTCAACTGGACAGTTGTAACAAGACCTAATGGTATCCAACTAAGGGAGACCACATATTAAATGGTCAGAAGACTGGCTGTTGCAGCTCCCTGTTTTGTGTGTTAAAAACTATACATCTCAGACAAAAACGTTTCACCTGAAAACAATTTTAGCACAACTAATTTTACTGACCTCAAGGCTTGAGCCAACATTTTCACAGCACTACCCCTGTATAATGTAAATATAAAAAATGTACATGAAAAGCAGTTGAGACTAAACTCCAGAGTAAAGTTAACAGCACCATGAAAACTTGTTTACAAAAATTAAAATAGATTCATCTTGACATAATTATGAATCTATAAAGAAAATACAGGGCAGCACGGTGGTGCAGTGGTTAGCACCGTTGCCTCACAGCAAGAAGGCTCCGGGTTCCGGGCCCCACCCGGGACCTTTCTGTGTGGAGTTTGCATGTTCTCCCTGTGCTTGTGTGGGTTCTCTCCGGGGGTGTACCTCCCCCCCCCCCCCCCCCCGTGACCCCGTTCAGGGATTAAGCAGTAGAAGAATGAATGAATGAATGAATGAATGAAGAAAATACAAATTATATAATGAAAGAGGTAAAAAAATAAAAACAATGACGTCAGTGCAACATCAGACCAGCTGAGATGACAAAATGTAGATAGGTTAAGCTATAACAAGTTACATCACACACAATTTCAAATCTCCTCAAGAAAATTAAAAGTGACTGAAATATTGTAATGTTTTAACCAAGGCATATAAAGGTAATACTTGTTAAAAAAAGCCACTGACACACTAAAAATGCAGTATCTTACTTGGCAAAAATGTAACATATTCAGGCTAAATAAAATGAAGTGTAACTCGGTATAAACAATAATGTCAGTAGCTGTTCTTACAGATTCAATGGAATCTGTACTTTCGCGCAGGCTTCAGGTTGACATACGTCTTCTTCATATCTTCCGTCTCATTTTCCTTCACAAGATGATATCGCTCTCCTTTTGTGGTTACCACCTGGTTGCTGTGGTACCGGACCAGTTTTTTTGGAGCCTGCAGAAATCACACAAGATTTTTGCTGTATGAAACAGATTTCATAAAAGTACACTGTAAATACTGAGTACAACCAGAGACTTGCATCTTTGGGAGCCACAGGTCGGTGTGTTTTCTTGTCCTCCTCCCTGTCCACCAACATGTACCTGGAGAGATGAAACATAGTCATAAACACTGAAACAAAGAAGTGTAGCCAGTTGTGCTCTTCACAGTGTAATAGCAATCTTTCTCACTTCTCAAGGATGCTCTCTTTCAGTTTCTGGTCTGCCAGTGAGGAAATATTCTTCCCATGGTTTACCTGAGGCAAGAGGATCCCATCAAATCAGACTAAGCAAGGTAGACTGAGACCAAGATGAAACAGTGATTTGTTGTGTGGAGCAAAGACTCACATTAAGGGGAGTAGGGCTGAGTTGGACATCACCCTCTATAATAAGGCGCACAGCTTCCTCCATGTCTCCTTTGGCAATAGAAAGAGCACTGCGAGCCTCGGAGAGACTACACTTGGGAAACATCTCGAGCAGGTGCTGCTCCTGGGTGTCCCACTCAGAGACTGACAGCTGGACATACATGTATTTTATGTAAAATCTAATTTAGATGGATGTAAACAGTGTCAAGAGTAGGACACACAAGGAGCATAAACTAAATCATAGTATTCAGTATCATAAAGAAAAGAATGTTCTGTTTGTTGAAATGATCACCTTGGCAGTGGCGCCCTCTGTCTGTGTTTTAAGGCACTGCGTTTCCCTCCCCAGTGAAGCTTCACTGGGCAGGCTGTTGAGTTTGAGTGAAATCTCTTCTGTTCTTGTCTTAAGCACACCGTTTTCTTCATCAGCTAAAAAAAGAAAGAGAAATTAACATCAGCATACAGTAGTATAAATGTTGGGCTGATGATCTAAAATGTGTGCCACTGCTCGACAATGTTAAGTTTGTGCTGGTGACTCCATTGACAATATTCTGAAAATGAAGAAACCACTTGGAAAGGGTAAAATTGACACACTAATGTGTGTATTAGAAATAATAATAGAAATCCTACCTGAGGTCCGAGCAGTGGCTAGTTTTGAAGCCAGGCTGAACATCATTTCACAGACTTTTACACTGCAAATGGAAAAACACCTTTGTAATAACATCAAATGACAGCTCACTGACACAGAATGACCACAACAGAGAAGAAAGGTGTGACTGTATGCCTACCTGTCAATTTTTGCAAAGCCAGGTATGTACGCTTCTAACATCTCTGCAAAGACCTCCACATCAAAGCTTTCCTCAACACTCTGCTGGGAGCCAAGATCCTCCAGGACTCCAGTGATGTAAGACAGAAGGACATCATCCAGTGTGCTGAAATGAGTGGTAAAAAGAAATTACTGTAAAACTGACTTAACTTGACTTATTTGTGAGGGTGCAAAAAATCTGGGGAATTGCATACCTGAGATCTGCATCAGGGATATAAGTCAGAATAAATTCGTGCAGCATGCTGTGGATGATTTTGTGGAGGTCCATTGCGTTCTCCTGCTGTTCATTAGAGAAATAAAAACTGAGTCAAAGTGGTGGAGCTGGGTTACAGCGGATGGTCAGGCAGTTATAATAGCAGCATTGGCAGTTAACCTCAAATAAACAGCTGCTGAATGTAACCATTCACATAACACTTAACTGTGTCAGTGAACAGACACATCCGGTCTTGAGCGGTTTCCGATCTTTGCACGGGGATTTATTTTTGGTCACTCCCACCGAAGCACAAGTACAATTAATTAATTTGTATATGTTTAAGAATCTGTCTGTGAAATTTCATCCAAATGCATGAAAATCTACATATATATTTACTATATCAAAGTTACGTTGATAAACAAAAAGCGCAATAGGCATACAGAAGTCGCCCTTGGGAGACGCTCTTTCCTCCCGTAAAATGCAGGATCTTATTGTGAAGGACGGAAGTAAGGTAACGAAGTGGGTTTTAGTATTATTGTTTACTTGGTCAAGACAGGGACAAGCTAATAATCACTGCTACATTAAGGAAATGCAATAAAACACCGTCAAAGCAGGCGCGCCTGGCGTTTACAGTAAAAAGAGAAGAGGTCCGTGAAGGGACAATATCAGGTCACAGCTAAATCTCCGGCGTTAGCACTATTTTGTCGCTTCTAGCTGAGGAAAATGTAAAACAAGTGACTAACATGATACATGGCTAGAAAGGTAAGAAGTTAGACTTGAGTTATATACCGTTACATAAACGCAAAACGTTACACGACATTTATATTTGTGGTTTAATAAATACATTTTAAATGTGTTGGCTAAAATGCGTTCGTGAGAGGACACAGTTTAGCTAATGTCATCAAGCAATGCTCTTGTATCACACTCATGTACGGCATTATAACAACCTCGCAACCGTTGTTTTTGTTGACGAGAGTTAGCATTACAGCTACTCGGACATTAGCTAGTTGTTAGCTAACCGAGAGTTAATTACTGACGCTAAGGCTACGCTATCACTAGCTAGCCAGCTGCAGGGGAGCCGCGTTATTATTACACTTCATACAACCAGTTGTTCCATTATGTATTTTCAACGTTATCAGTACGTATTCTTTAACAAGCTTAACCTTAATCTTCATATCATCTGAGAGAAATAACGGCACTTTTTTAGCGAACTAGCGCTGGCTAAGTGGATATTTGTAGCTAACAGTAAGTGCTAGCTAACGGTTAACATTTAACGCCATACCAACATTAGTTATTTATATCTGGGCGACTTTTAATAGAGTAACACTTACTGTGAAATTATGGAGACATGAAGAGTTTCCCCCAGACGTATTGGGGGAGCCCAGGTCAGTGCAGTGGTTACGGGCTTCCTATCCGTGCAGCTTGTTAGCCTGCACGATTCAAAACATTGGCACGTCATTTCCTCTGCTTGTAAGCCGTTATAATCATGAGTGAAACGTATTAATTAGACTGATTGTTTAAAATGCTGTGTGGAATAAAGCTTCTTTTACAGAAAATATATGTATTTAACCAAAGTGAGTAAAACATACACACTATGCGTGTGTTTGCATAAAAATAATCACAATACAAATCACATTAACTAATTGATTAGTGGATCAACAGATAAAAGTCCTGCAGGCCAGTTAATTGTCCTGTATCTTACTTGTATAGTTCCTGCAAGACTTCTTTAAAATAGAGATTGGACAGGAGGAATAAGTGAAGACCTTTTTTTTTGTTTGTTTTTGAAGATGCTGATCAGCAGCTATTTTGCTCAATTAATTATTTGAGTCATTTTCCACACTTGCATGTTTTTTGCTCTTTCAATATGAATATTTTCTTTTCTTTTCTCAGATGTAGCCATTACCTTCTGAATATATTTGGGCTTTGGACTGTTTATTGGAATAAACAATACATTTGATGATTCCACCTTGAGGTCTAGGAAACAACAAATGTAAAGTGTGTACTAAGTGTAAGGAAGACTGGGATGATTGCCATTACATAGCTAACAATTTTACCATGTGGGTTTGAAGTTAGCATGACTGTAAAGCATAAAGTTAACCTAGACAAGCTGCTGCTTTAGGTTATATAAATCAAACCACTGTATCTACAATACAATGAAAACTAGGTAAAAATGATCTTGATCAAAAATGTAAAAAAAAAAAAAAAAGTTACCTGAAAATGATTTTTTTATTCATAAAATCTACAGTGTTGCTCATAGATACAGTAACGTGTAACTCGTTTCTGACTGCACAAACAGTGTTACAGCTGACCCAGTGTTAAAACACTCCCCACTTTTCCCTTTACTGCAGTGAAATATAATTGGCAGGTTAAAATAATTTAGTTTCTGCCTGGCATTACATAGACAAATAATAAATAAATAGAGAACTATCAAGCTTATGAACATCTATAATGCTGATTTCTTTTCTATGATATTGCAACATCTAATATATAGGTTACTATATTAGTGAGTACAGTAATGTGTTGATGATATTTTAATGCAACAAAAATTTAAAGTAAGCAATTAATGTTCCATCTATTTTTTTCTTTAGTAAAACCTTTACAATCATAATTATGTTTGGTTAAGAGAATATCCTGAGTAAATATGAGGAGACTGGCTCCTGACTCCATGTCTGAGAACCGGTCTAGCCAACTTTTAGGTCTGTAAGTAACCTACTCTCACTTGGACTTTGTCTTATCTTTTTCCATATCCATACATAGTTGATGATCAAGGTGTTATCTGAGGCAACATCAGTGATGTCATCAGGTCCTGGTTTTGATTTCCCCTGGCTGTGTTGGTATTATAACAGATATGTTACTGTAAATCATTAATGCCACTTCAGTTGCGTTCTTTCTCTCCTGGCAATTTCTCTTGCTGACTGTAGTATTTTATCAGGAAATATGGGGCATGGCACTGATAAAACAAGCAAGAACAATTCTTAACTTGGCTGAACTCTGTTTCAACTCTGAGCTCATGGTGAGACAGGTGGGGCCGAGGTATCAGAGGAGAGTACCTTGTTTTTTTTCTCCAACAGACTCAGACTGAGCAGCCTGTAAACTGTATAATATGCACTTGCAAACACCTAGTAGCATACTAGTTACTGTAATTTTCTATCTAAATTTTTTTTAAACTGTACAGATTCAAGTTTCATGCAGTGTTTACTTACACTTTTACATACAAAGCAAAATCTTAATTGCAGTGTCACATTTATCCCCAAATGGAAGTGAGTGTTCTCAAAACCACCTAGGGCCCTGCATATAATCATATTTTTCATTTTCTCCACTTCAGAATTCAGTGGTAAATATTAACTCATGCTGACAGATCTATTAGGGCTTCCTCTTTTTTTTACATTTAGGGTGTCCCAACGCCAGGTGGCAGCATTGAGTTACTAGTGACAGCAGGTATGTTTACTCTAGAGACTCTGCATAGAAACAAACAACAAAGAAGAGCTATTACTGATATCAGATTTACAGTAGTTTATAGCATCTTGGAATGGAATAATTATCATTTTAAAAACAAGCTTATTCATTCTACAAAACACCCCCACATTAAACACACAAGTTGTTAATGGTTAACAGGTAAAGAATCCACCTTTTTGAGCTTAAGTTCGTTTTGTTGTCATTATCAGAAAATAAGTGTAATTGAAGTTGTGGAGGAAGGTTATTATCTTTTATTTCAACTGTCTAAACAGGGAATGATGATGCTACTACAGTGGCTAAGCAGCTGGTGTGTAAGTCCATGCTTTTGTGCGAGTGACATGCACTGGCTGTAGTGAGGCATCGTCAGTCAGTAATGCATTATTCCAACTAGTAATTCCAGCTATGTATGTTATAATTAGGACACTGCAAAAAATGAAATTTTAGATTACACTAAGGTGAAAGTAGAACAAATATCTCTTATGTGAATTTAGTCAAACTTTGAAGATAGGACCGCTTAATTAATGGTTAAAATATTCTTTGGGTGGTGTATATTCTTAGTATAATCACATATAAACACACTTACAATATGGCAAAGAACAGTTATATAACATCAATAATAAAAAGAACCTTTATTTCCTTTAGCATCAAGTAACATTGTTATTTAAAGTTTCCACTGAGGGAGGTACAAACAATTGCAACGGATGATTTAAAGTGGTGTGACAAACCTACATCCTTGTATTTGTTTTATGCTTGTGTGGAAGAGAAATTATTTTTAATCCAAGCACAGAATAAATCATTTTAAAACTTTTAAAAAGTCATACATTATGCAATGCTGTAAGTGGAAGACAAGCCTTAATATGTGCTAATGGTATGTTTACACATTTCCATTCCTATATGCTAGGGCACAATCAAGCATGTCGAACAACACTGTCGAGTCAGAGCACATAATGTGCACATATTGTACTGGTGGCACAGATTTCCATTTTCACACAGACAATGGCGACTGGGGGTTGGCTGGGTGATGTTGGAGCAAAAATAAAAAAATCGTTTTTTTTACAATTTTCATCAAAACTACCAAAACACTGAATGATTTACTGCCAAATTAATTACCCTTTACCCAACTTTAGACAATAATGCTCACAGCTGTCAGTTGGAACAGTATTATTCTATTAACTTTTGATTTGCAGTTCAGCCAGAGTGACTTCATATTTAGATTTAATTGTATTTTCTTTGTGAGTGTGTAGCATTGCATCCACAGTAGAAAGGCACAGAATTATCTAAGATTTTCAGTCGAATCACCTGTGGTGGCAGAGATGGGATCATTGCATTATGTGGAGAGATAACTTGTTACAAATTTTAAACACTTTACATATCTGTTCCAAAGCATTACAAAAGGTGCATTTACAGAGTGAATTCAAGCACAGTGTATTTTAATTGAGTGAAACTTTTACAATATGAGGCCTCCAATCATATCCCATCTTTAATCAAATCTGAGACTTACTAATCATTTCATCTTTTCAAGGTTGTGTAAGTCAAAGCATTATTGTGTAGATTTTTACAAAAGTATAATATTAAAAACATTGATGAAATCAAAGTGTGTTTTTAATTAAATTTTATCTTTGCTTTTTTTTCTTTGCCATGTTAGCGCCTTTGAGCATAAGCATGAGATTAGCTGGCTGGTAGTCCGAAGGCAAGCCTGACCTGATCCAGATCCGGGCCACCTGTGTGAGCTATGCTGCCCTCCCGTCTGCCTCCTGTCCTGTCTCCAGGCAGTGGTCACCAGGCAGCCTTTTGCCACTTCTTCGCTGTCCAACCATTTCCCCAACCAGCTACAAGGTACAGAAAAGCTCAGGGAAGACATGATGTTTATACAGTATTTGTGTGAAAATCGATTTGAACAATTTAACTGAGAAAACAACAACACCCCTAGAGATGTGTTCACAACAGATTAAAATAAATAACATCAAATATTAGATATTCCAGTTTAGCAAATGTAAAGTTTTGTTCATCATATAGAGTTACAACAGATGGGTGCAATAAGTAGGGAAATTCAGACAACTAGCTTAGGTTCGTCTCACTAAATGGTTTGGTCTCCTGTCTTGGTTTGTGTCTCTGTTCAGCGGTCGATAAGGGGACCTGCCCGTGGCATCCATCTTGTGTGGCCCCCCTCACATTACCATTGATCTGAGGGAAATAAAGAGCACATGTGTTATTATATACAGCCCAGAAAAACACCCTCTCATGGTGATGGAGTGAACAGGCCAAATGTATGAAATATTGCCTCTCAGACATATTCTGTCTTCCTGTCAATAGTGTAGCCTTTGCCCACCATCTGGATCAATAGGGACTTATCTTTTCATGATAACACATAACAATGTTGTCTGCTACCTTCTGATATTGAAGTACTAATTCTGTCCCTCCACCTTTTTAAATCATCCATACTGATATGTATATATATGCACATGCATTCGTTACAGATTTTCCTAGTAGATTTTTTTCTTTCAGCAGAAATAAAACTGGCGTGGGTCCGCCACTCTGAGACATGGCAGTTACAAATTTACATGTTGGTTTTCTGGACGTTTCTCTGAAGCTTTTGGGGGTCTCTCATGTGTGAGACTGCTCAGCGGAGAGAAGACACCCCTCTGTAAAAACATCTGTTGTGGAAATGGCTGTCAGACACCCTTTTGTGTGCTTTGTCTCCTCTTTGCACAGAGATTGTCATTTGTTTTGATCATTTATGTGGGTAAATGAATAATGATAAAAATTCTGGAGAATGTACCTTTGCTGTCGAGCAGTCTACAGTTAAGCGGTGATTGTTTTAGCAGCATCGCGGCATTGAGCCATGTCATATAACTATGCTGCTTAATGTAAAAGTAAACTATAACACACTGTGATATGACAGTTTTTAGAAATAATGTACAGTTAACCATTTCAGTAAGCATACATTCCCTTTATATTATGACAAGCTGATTAAAGTTTATAAGAAAATATAATCCTTAATTATTTTTTTTCATCATGTGATAATTGTTATCATATATGGCAGACATCACTGGAAAAGAGAAACTGATTCAGTCTCTTCTTGTTTAGAATGATTTCACAGTAAAAAAAAAAAAAAAAAGCCATTTCTTTTTGTATTGAAATACCACGTGGGCCACAGAAAAGTAGCCCGCCTGCAAAACAATCCACTTGCTTGTTCATCTTGGCGGGCGTCTTTTTGTGGTCCTCTTCTCAACTTTGAATGAGTGCATGAAACAATCGGTGTGATTGAATATAAAGTGGTCTAACTTAAACTAAATTCTGAAAACAAGTAGAAAATACTATTCATAGAAAGTGATAAGTAAATTGTAGCCTTAATCCTTTAAATATATTGACAACAAAAGCTCTGGATTGGCCCAGGGTGTGGTAGCGCCATTGCTCTCCACCTACACAGGAAGTGTTTTGGGAGCACCTGTCCAGTTGTGCCACAAGGCACATCATCTCTTTGTACCTGACAGTCAGCTGTCATCTATGTTACTCAAGCTGCTCTTTCAGCATTACTGTTCATTCTGCTTAGCGGTACTGCTCAATCAAAACACAAGTTGTAAATATTTTTATGCTTGTACATTACAGTATATCATGGACACAATTACTATGTTAGTGAATCACTGGAGCTAATGAAGAAATTTTTGTGTGTGCATTGTGACAGTTGAGAAATACAGTGAGGGCTGGACAGTGCATCTGTTTTATCTTGAAGTGACAGGCAGCTAATCTAGACTTTTAACTGATATTTTGTTCTTATAACACTGTAAGACAACAAAACAGCTCTGGATGGAGATAATATTCCCTTTCCCAAAAGTTGAGTTGTTTTCTGTGGTTTTGAAGTGCAGCATTAACAGCGTGTAGGTACAACTGTCAAATTTGATTGCTTCATAAAAATAGATTTGAACTTTAAAGAAAAAAAATACTTTATTATAGTAAACATTATATTTAGAGGTGTCTCTGGCCTCCCCAGCTACATACAGGAGAGAGTCAGAATATTAGGAACACATGAGAATATAATGTAGTCCAGTACAACACCTTTAAGTATGACCTCAATAATAAACTTATAATTGAATTTATACATTTATGACAATTTCACAAAAAAAAGAAACATTTTTGAGCTTAATAATGTGGAAATGTATTGAATTGCATACAATTGTACAGTGTGCTGGTCACTTTTAAAGAATCTAAGTAAAAAAAAAAATAACATTGTGTATGTGACCTGGTTTAAAAGGTGTAAAAGATGTCCACATTTGCACTAACTGAACCATAACAGCAAGGTCCCTGCATGAACTAATGGGACACCTGTTTGTGATTCCATGATGTTCCTGCAGAGCAGGTGAATGTTTCAGCAAAGTGACACCTCATAAACTAGCTGATAACCTGTTCCTGTGTCTTCTTATCTGTCTTGCAGACAATCCCTGGTCCCTGAGCACACTGTCGTTTCCCCTCGGGTCCATTATCAGATCCTCTCTGTAGGTTCCCAGCAGCTGCAGTTATTGTAGAAGTCTTTACTTTTATGGTCCCATGATGTCTGTGACAACAGTAGCTTTTATGAGCGAGTACACTTTGTCTTGTGGTTGCTCTCATTGTAGTTTCCTTTTGTTGTTTTGACTGACAAGCTGTCCCCTTTTTTCTCCCCATCAAATAAAATCAAATAATAAATCCTTATCGTTTTAAATTTATAGCACATTAAATTGTGATTTTTTTTTTGGCAAATAACATGAAATATAATAATTCAAGCCTTTCACTGATTTTTTAAGTTTATTTCAAATTGTCAGGTGCTAATAGCGATATTACCACTATTCCAGGAAGGGGTGAATAATATGTGAAAAATAACATAAAAAAAGGAGGAAACAGACAAAAACCAATAGAAGAATTTACTTCTGGTTAAAGTGTTGAGGTTATTTTCAAACATTATATTATTAGTCTTTTTTATAGTCATGTTTCAGAACTGGTCAGTCCCTTACACTATCTGTGCTATCTCTCTCTGCCATTTATGTACACATTTACTGGATTCAAAGTCACTGGGATCAATCTTTTGGCCACCAAAGGAGCATAACTAATGGCAACATTAGAATGGCTTTGTAAGAGGGACTGGCCGGATGCAGGTTAACCAAGCAGGAAATAATCTAGGATTTTATATATCCTGCATGAATGGCCATATGATATGCTGAGAATGAATGAATCCCCTCCAAAATTTTAGCAAAGTTATCTTTAGAATGAAACTGTTTCAGGGGGAAACAGATTATTTAATTGTATTTTTATTATTATTATTTTTTTTTCCCAGGGGAAAAATGCACACATGGAATTTCTTGACAGATAATGAGTGTCATCTTAATTCTCAGCCAGGGTCAGACTATCTGTTCTGTTTCTGGATGCGGGTCTAAAGGGCCTTCCTCTGGAAAGCCCTTTTTCCCTTCCTTTTAAAGACCCATTTCTATTTTCCTGTTGTGCCCAAACAAGGATTTTATAAAACGGGTGACATCGCCACACAAGCTGTCCGCTGAATCCCCCTTAATTAAAGTGACATTTAAAGCCTTCCTCAGACACTAATAAACCCCCTCTCCATTAAGATCCTCCTAATTACTGTGTGCAAAGGAAAGGGACACACACACACACAGACAGTGTGGAGGTAAGCCTGCTGGCATTTGGCCCCATAAGCTGAGTGCCATACAAAAGAAAATGTCCCCTGGGTTACCCATCCTACCAGAGACATTCTTTTTTTTTTTTTCCAGCCTCACTCACCCTTTCCTGTTTTCTTCTTTATGAATGAAACTATATGACATGTGGGGCTGAGAGTGTCCATTCATGGAGCTGGTGGAATGTGTGAATAAAGGCTTTGAATGAGGCATGAATCCCAGCCACCTGATTAGTCATTAAGAAATCATTTGACATTACCATTGTTTAAATGTGCATGGTGGAAATGAGAACACTGTCATTTATAAACACCTGTTCACTCAAGTGAGGTTGATTAGAAATATATAGATATTCAGTGTAAACGGTGGGATGGTGGGTCTTTTAAGAAAATAATCATTTAATATTAATATATTTTAACACCGATTATAGCATTTATTTATAAGGTTTTGCTGTGTTGGATGGTAGTCTCATCTTAGTCCAGTATGGCTTTGGAGAGGCTGAAATTGATGTGGACAAGAGAATCTCATATCATTACATGTCACACTGAGCCACAAGTGCAGGGAATGTGGACAGTTGCTACAGCTTCACTGGCAGCGGCCTGTCCAGGAAGGTTAAATGTGTTTGGTTCATGTCCTGCTTTGTAGATTAATGACATTAACGAAGTTTCCATTAGTTGTGCAACTGGGGGAGACATGAGCGTCCATGCGGAAAGCCACATGACTAAAGCAGAGATAAGAGAAAATGAAATATGTCTTCATGGAGACAGGAGGGGCCAGGAATTACCACTCCAAATTAGCCGCAGGCCCATTTTGCTGTGACGTCATTAACCCAACAGTTTCGAAAAAATAAAAACCTTTAACAACAGGGAGGCCTGAAATGTGCAAAGAGAGACTCCTTCAAAGTTTGCCTGGCTACAACGTTTGACACAATACATGCAAATGTTTATGAGACAAAGTTGTCATTTAATAGGAAATTCAATTTAAAATGTTAGTGTTTTACCTCGAATAGTTTGGTTTAATTTCAGATTAATTTAGCTACTGTATATTTGCTGCAGTGTTATTTGGAGACCATTAAAAGAAACACCACTTCACTCTTGTTCTAATGGTTAAAACAAATGTTGAAATATCCTGGAGGTTAATTATGAGCATGTATTCTGATTTTCAACCTTTTAAACATTTGTAAGCTGTTAGTGTGATAGAGATGCTTTTTTTTTTACATTGTTACAAACGAGATGGACCAATGAGTGAGTCAGTCTCATGCAGTTTGAGCTTTTACTAGTACATTTTAAAAGTGAATGCCCAAACAAAATTATTTTAAAAGCACAGTTAAGTTTTGTTAAATTTACCAAAACAAGCAGTTAAAGTCTGTGGGTAAAGCGTAATGGTAGTGAGTATTTTTCACATAGTCACTCTGTGGACAGTCACTGGATCAGGCTATCCAACGCTTCTCAGTCACATTAATAATATAAATTCATTATCAGTTTTTTTCACAAATGACTATATTACTGGAGCATTAATATTAGATGATGTGCATTGTGTGCTGTTTGTTACTCTCTAACGTGGTGGTGTACCTCAAAACCGAGCTGAGTTGTATAATGCCATCCTTGTTGTAACACGAGCCGAGCAATGGCTCTTTATTTGCAGGCAGTGACTTTATTAGAGTCTATGGTTACAGACCCTTGGAAGAAGGACTATTGTATTTTCACCCCTTCTCTGGCAAACATAACTCTGCTGCTCTCTTCCTTCTTCCTTTGTGCACTCATAACAAACAGGCCTGATGGATTTTTAGAGTCTGGGCAGAAATTTGAGGTTATTATTGTTATTATTATTATTATTGAACACAATGAAGTGGAGTTTGGCACTTAAAATATGGTCTAAGCAGTCTTTCATTGTGTTAGATTGGAATCACATGTTTAATTCCTAGAAAGTAAGCTACAGTAAATGATCTCTCTCTCTCTCTCTCTCTCACACACACACACACACACACACACACACACACACACACACACACACAAACATATGCTCACATAAGCCTACTCAGCAACATGGATCAGCAGCAGCTGACTTGGCTAAAAACTCTGTGGCACAGGTAGACAGAAGCAGGGTCCAGCGAGTGTCTACTGAGGCTGCAGGCACATCTGCCTGCTTGATTTCACCTGGTAACTGAGCATGTAGTATTTACTTCTCAGCTGAAATGCAACCAGGGAACCAGGGACTGGTAGCTGGCAAAAAGCAGTGAGCTATAGATTAGGTTTTTTCCCCTTCCAAGAACTAAGGAAGACTTTGAGTTGAAAATGCTGGATGATAATATATTATGTTATAGCATATACTATATAGTTTTAAAATCTTTCCATTCCCATCTGTTAGCTGAGCACTTACAGGCCAAACAGAGAGTTGTATGTCATTAAACTGGTTTCTTCTAACATTTATTACTAAATCAAAAGTTGTAATAATGTTAGAGCAGGATTCAAGATCTAACTTGCACTAAAACAGAACTATTCTATAAACATAAATGAATGTGGTTTTAAATCCGTCATTTCACCACTGATGACAAGAGGCTTGTGAATTCCTGATGATAAGTGACACTGTTAAGTTTGAGAGCTCCCCTGTGCATGTATAAACATTTTATCTCCTTGAGACAAGAGTCACCTCTCTAATCTGGCTGAAGAAGTGAGTGGAGAGGCCCTTGATCCCACCCTGCCTTAACCGGTTGCGCACAGAAGAGCCATTTACCTCCACTAATGGGGAGTGAGCTTTTCACCGCGGCCTACTTGCCCCTCAACCCTCTGAAAGAAACTTCGCCAGAGAGGAGACATTAAGAAAACCAGTTAATCTGTAGCAGTTTGCCTGTGTCTACCCAGGGAATGGACCGAGCTCCTTGGTGCCTTTTCAAGAGGCTTCTCTTTACAGCAACTATAGAAGTGTTAAATCAGCACTTTTCTCAGTGACCTTGATAAAGACACAGTGGTTAAACAAATGAGTGGTTAGCCATTTAGTTGTTACTCATTTAAGAAATGACGCGCACAATATTTATCATTGAATATATTGTTTGTGTTACTATATGCCATTTAACTTATTTGCCAAAGCTTTATTATAGTAGTGAAGTAACACTGCAAATAAGATAAAAAAAAAAAAAAAAAGTTAAAACCATGCTAGTGATGCTGCACTAATACACAGTGGTGCTTTGAATGAAACACTGGTGCTGCATGAATCAAATACTGCAAAAACAAACAAGGAGTGAAATTAATTAATTTTTTTGGTGTTCAGTCCTCACTCTAACCTATATAAAGAGAGCAAATTATTGATTTTAGAGCAGTGGGTGACTCTTTGAACCAGGCGATAAAGCCTCACTCTCCCAAAAAAAGATCCTGAAGAAAGAGTTGTACCAAAGGAACAGAAACCTTAACAAACAAGTCACTGTTGCTTACCTTTGTTTGTGAGAGTGGGGGCTTTTAACCTCAGACACTCAGTATTTACTGATTGTTTATGGTCCATTCCTACAGTGGCAGCAGGAGTGCTACACCAAGGTCATCGGTGGCTGCAACCACAGTGACCTGCTGTTAAAGACGGAACAAATAAACACAGGAGAAACTCTGGAGAACGGGGCTAACCAGGTGGGTAGTCACAATGGCAAGTGGCCTGCAGGTTAGAAGGAGGAGGGAACAGCGTGTTGGGTGTGTGTACGATGCAGCATGGGAAAAACATTTTAGTGAACATTTTAACAAGATGATTCAGTAGGCAGATTCAGAAAAGCACAACAAAACACACATGCATGCACAGACACACATATGAGCCCACAGAGGTATGCATGTAAAACACACACACACACACACACACACACACACACACAATTGCTTATGTTTCAGTGGGTATGACAGATGCTGTATGGACTGTTGTATTCTCAGT